TTAACCACAAAAATATGGATGAAATGCCGAATAAGCATTGTGATTTAGCAATAGATAGACTTAAGTCATTGTTAGTTTAAATTGGAGAACATTTAGTTGTTTTGGGTTGTCTCTCCTTAAATATTGATCGATGTCAATATTTAAGAAATAATTTGCCCTTTATCGTTTGCTAGTGTGTGAACTGCCTTTTTCAGATAATTTAAAAGTTTTGTTTTAAGGTAATAGCGACATTTTTACTCAATATAAATGATAAGATGGACGCAATACCAGCCTTCTATATACAGATGGTACATGTTCATAAAAATGGGACTTTGTAACTTGATGTGGATATTTTGAGATATGCGGTTCGATCTCTACCCGAGTGGTTTGTGTTTCCGGGTACTGGGCACAGATCATTCTGTATTGTTGTGGTTGTGTTATTGGGATAGCAATACAACGACAGTGTATTCTGACCACTTACATAAACAGGTTTACAAACGATGTCAACCCTCAATGCCAGAAAGACATCTCGCTGCATTTTCGTAACCAGGTATAGCTACACGATGAAACGGGGTAGGTATGTGATATAGGCCAACATCGATCAAAGGTCAGAGGTCATTCTCCTGGCGTCAGTAGTATGGAACCGACGTATAGTTCGAAATGAGTGAATTTACGAGTTTCACACAAACTAATGAAAAGTGTACGGGTTAAGAAGAGTCAGTATGTTGCTCAGCAATTAAGAAATGACAGTATCATATTAAACAATATTACTTTGTTTTCATGTTTTATATCGTCTCCACGTCAATGTATTATTGCAGTCTGTCGAGTCACTAGTGGAACTAAAATAGCAGCTCTCTTGTTTCATTTTCTGATAATTCATGTAACTGCGGGATTCATCAATACATTTAAACCATGTACCGTTCAGTTGACCACGAAAGACCAATAATTGATGAATAGGCAATGTATTTATGTGAACACCGACCAGACACACCTAGTTACTAGGAGTACTTCAGATAACTAACGTGAAATGTAGGCCGTCACTAGGCTGTTTGACGTCAAATATCCAACAGCCGATATTTGTACATGTAATATTAAATTTCAGATATTACAACTTCAGGTATATCAAATGTATTAAGATCAATAAGTCAAAATGGAGAATGACCTTCCCAGATATGTAGTTTGCTATTTTTAGAGTCATCGATAATTGAAATTCTGTGCTTTAGATAATTACTTTTCAAAAATACATGTGGCGCTTTTATTGCGCCACCAATTTCAGATGACTGTGTCTTAAAATAAATCTCTATAAACAATTGCTGAGTGTTTTGGTACTTTTCAATATAGATTTTAATCTTTAGTCTGGAAAGTAAAAGTTATGTATGCTTGGAACACGTTTTGTTTACAAGTTTGATACGAACGAGTCACGGTATTAAACTATCTCATGTTTTATATATATTTCTTTACAAATAAGGCTTCCACAATTTTAACACAACAATGTGACAATGTGTCATTTGCTTTTAAGTCAATTTCGACAAATATCAGAATCTCCATTCAGATTCCAACTCTAAACCATAACGAAAGTAGCCGGCAAGATGTGATCGTGCTCTTAAAACAACACATACTGATTTCTTGATATCGTCTGACTCTATCCTCTAGATCTCCTCTGACACTGTCCTCTAGATCTCGTCTGACACTGTCCTCTGGATCTCGTCGGACACTGTCCTCTAGATCTCGTCTGACTCTGTCCTCTAGATCTCGTCTGACACTGTCCTCTAAATCTCGTCTGACAATGTCCTCTAGATCTCGTCTCACACTGTCGTCTAGATCTCGTCTGACACTGTCGTCTAGATATCATCTGACACTGTCGTCTAGATCTCGTCAGACACTGTCCTCTAAATCTCGTCTGACAATGTCCTCTAGATCTCGTCTGACACTGTCCTCTAGATCTCGTCTGACTCCGTCCTCTAGATCTCGTCTGACTCCGTCCTCTAGATCTCGTCTGACAATGTCCTCTAGATCTCATCTGACACTGTCCTCTAGATCTCGTCTGACACTATCCTCTAAATCTCGTCTGACAATGTCCTCTAGATCTTGTCTGACACTGTCCTCTAGATCTCGCCGGACACTGTCTTCTAGATCTCGTCTGACTCTGTCCTCTAGATCTCGTCTGACACTGTCCTCTAGATCTCGTCTGACTCTGTCCTCTAGATATCATCTGACTCTGTCGTCTAGATCTCGTCAGACACTGTCGTCTAGATCTCGTCAGACACTGTCCTCTAGATCTCGTCTGACACTGTCCTCTAGATCTCGTTTGACTCCGTCCTCTAGATCTCGTCTGACTCCGTCCTCTAAATCTCGTCTGACACTGTCCTCTAAATCTCCTCTGACGCTGTCCTCTAGATCCTTGCTTTCTGCTGAAGTCCGATCCCGAGGATACCATATAGATATATGATTTTACATGAGCTCGACTTGATTTGTGATTTTTGAAACGAATCTAAAAAATAGCCATTGAAACAAACCTTTGTTGTATCTAAATATCTAATGGACATGAAATCAGCATCGCGTTCATCACATGATTTATCGATCTGATAAATCTTGTCGAATATCGACATTTTCACGTCAAACTTGAGGTCATTTTGGCTCCACAACTATGGTGTCCAAATGTACTGAACATCAGGTACATTTATAATGAGATAAGAACAGAAAACAACATTGTCACGTTTTGTTTCCATCTGGTGCAAACAAATAAACACAAAAACAAGTAAACCGGGAGACATTTAATGTCGGAGAGTTTCTACTAAAATGTTTAAAATAGGAATAATTTTGTTAATTGTTAACATACAAATGGCAATTTTTGGACAGGAAGATATTAAGCGCTAGCTCTGCTTGGGAGAGTTTTTATACGTAATAATAGGCGAGGCACATGACAGAGACAAAATACAAAGAATAAAGATCAAGGCGGGTTGGTTGGCTGTGTACTTATATAGAACCAGCTTGTCGGGTCATTCCATACCGAAAGTAACTCAGACGAAATTTTTGTTTTTAATATTGATTTTTTTTATATCTTTATCAGAATAATTGAAATACATTTCAGGAGGGGTGATAATGATGGAATTCTCTTGACAGTAAAGTCAGGATTTGGTAATACTTCTATATTCATTACCCTGTCAGTCGATATTCTCCCACCCTCTCCCCTCCCCATTTTATCCCCAAATTCATAAAACCATTACGTAAAAGAAACTATTGGAGGCATTGCAACATCTAAAAATAGTTTCCCACTTTTTTCCACGGAAGTCAAATTTGTATTTTGAAGCTGAGATATCTCGAAATTCAAATATAAAAATGAAAATACTTGCATTTCATTTGAAATTTTAAAAGATTGACTTACCAGCGTAAGTATAAATTAGTGTAAAATGGTAGAAATTAATTCGGGTTTGTAGGATTGATACTCTAGTATAGTAGATATGTAAAGTACACACAACCTTCCCAACATCGATCTTAGTAATCATTAGATATCCGTGACACCGGATATAGGTACCACACAAGCGACATTTTACAAAAGGTGGACACCATATTGGCGAGTGTTTCCATACTGATAAACCATAGTTTAGTCGGAGACTAATATTAGGATGGATTTTGTATATAAACATTACTTCAGGGAATCAATGGCTGGCCATCGTATTGTACGTTTGTGCCGGTATTAGAAGATATGTCTATGCTCCTGAACACGTGCCCAGATCTTACTGTGGTTAAAACCAATACTTTTTATACGAGAGTCTTAACAGAACAATCTATGAAACCTCACCTCATACATAGTGTCTGCCTTATGATAATTGCCGTTTGCCCTGTTCCAGTATCCGTTGTCTTGAGCATCCTGTGATAAAGGACATGAACAAATGTTGCTTGTATTCAATAATATGCGTTAGACGCATCACAAGTCACTCTAATATTCTATTTTGTAATACACGAGATGAAAAATTGATACAACGCATGCGCACTGTTGTCTGTCATACATACTGTGACACGTGTTATGACATCAAACAGAATAAATTATGCCAAAAATATTCAAATCTATATGATATGATTAATTGCATTTCTAAAATATACAATTTGTAACTACTCCTAATAAGGCACGGTTGATATGGTAGCAATGACGTTTTTCGACACAATTATGACATCATCAATCTAAACTGACGTATAATGCAATGACGTCTGCCTACAAGTATGATATGAAAGAACTTGATTTCTGTGTTATTTAATGGCGAAATGCAAATTTGACAATATATCCTGATTTTTGTGTTAATCTTGGTTTTCCGTGGATGTTTTAAAATTTTAAAATGTTTCCAAATTCTCCCCTCATCCCCTTCACAATTTGAGTGTTGGATCACTGACATGATCTTGAATTTCCCATATATTAGCGATGGTAGAATTATACATTTGATAAATGCTTCTAGGGATACGACTATGGAAATATGATTCTCTGTACTTTCCTCGTATTTTACGTCAATTCATATCGTGAACTTCAGAACAATGCAGTGTATTTACAGATATTACGTTTGCTTCAATGGATGTTGCCATACCAACCAGTAAGTGTGATTATAAAGCCAGCTTCGCGGCACATCCAATCCCTACCCCTACAAAACTCTATATAAACATTATATTTACATATACCATCAAAACAATGTATCACAGAGTACCGGTCTAATAATAATAATAATGATAATCAAATTACGATTATTCAAATAGTAGTCATTGCATACAAGTACATCATTGTATGTTTAGGGATAACGTGCACGTGTCCCTCACTACGTCATAAGCGGAATCCGTAACTAAGATAGGACCTTCCGCTGTATGCAAAAACTGATGGTTAAAACCACTATGTGTTTAAAATATCCATTGGCGTATACAATACGTCCATACGTTTGCAGGCACAGTTTTTTCAATGATACCTGGTTAAAATATCAATCATCGCACTGTCTATCTATCGTCACATAGTTTTTTTATTGCCAAAGTTTAAGAACATCTCATAAACACCTGTAGATGTCTTTCGCACTTTCGCACGTTTCACATAAAACGTCACAACACCAAATAAATCTGCATTTGCAATTCTCCCTAACGTGGACTGTCTCTTTCTCGTAGCCCCTGTTGCAGCACAAGAGGTCACATCCACCAACGCCCATGGAATTCGGATCACACTGCCTACCGCGCGTGCCCAACGAACCCTGTTTCCGGTTCCGCTTACAGAAATTTGGAGAGTTCTCAGAATAGATAAGGTCTAGATGGCTTTGTGGCTTTATGGTGTCCTCCACTGGTTGAACACCCTTGCCATCGTTCGTTCCCATTACCTTTATCGCTCCGTCGAATTTCTCCTTTAACGATAGACCGACTTGACGAAATATCGGCATTTTCAGCCAACATGTTTTCAACGTACAGGATCCAGAGAGGCCGTGACATTTACACTCCGAGCGCATGTCCCCTTTAACCGCCTGTTAAATGAAACATAACAATTTCATTTAGAAACTATCAATATTTACATGATCAAATTTCACAATTTCACAACATTAACTTAGATGTACATTGCAGACAAGGTTTATTCGTTCAAAACGTTTACCGTTATGCTAGTCTTGAAGTGGCTATTAGACCTTGGCTATATATCATCATATTGGGATAATTTGGAAATTATATCTCGCAAGCGGGCGACATACGTGTGGCCCAAAAGTACGATATGATACAAACTTAGCAACCACCACTGTTACCTAGGTTCTTACTGACCTCACACATCCTCCCAACCACCACAGTTACCTAGGGTCTTACTGACCTCATACATCCTCCCAACCATCACTGTTACCTAGGTTATTACTGACCTCACACATCCTCCCAAGCACCCCTTTTACCTAGGTTATAACTTGACTCACACATCCTCCCAATCATCACTGATATCTAGATTCTTACTGACCTCACATCCTCCCAACCATCACTGTTACCTAGGTTCTTACTGACCTCATACATCCTCCCAGCCATCACTGTTACCTAGGTTCTTACTGACCTCATACATCCTTCCAACCACCACTGTTACCTAGGCTCTTACTGACCTCACACATCCTCCCAACCATCACTGTTACCTAGGTTCTTACTGACCTCACACATCCTCCCAACCATCACTGTTACCTAGGTTCTTACTGACCTCACATCCTCCCAACCACCGCTGTTACCTAGGTTCTTACTGACCTAGGTTCTTACTGACCTCACACATCCTCCCAGCCATCACTGTTACCTAGGTTCTTACTGACCTCATACATCCTCCCAGCCATCACTGTTACCTAGGTTCTTACTGACCTCACACATCCTCTTCACCACCACTGTTACCTAGGTTTATACTGACCTCATACATCCTCCCAGCCATCACTGTTACCAAGGTTCTTACTGACCTCATACATCCTCCCAACCATCACTGTTACCTAGGTTCTTACTGACCTCACACATCCTCCCAATCACCACCCATACCTAGGTTCTTACTGACCTCACACATCCTCCCAACCACCACGGATACCTAGGTTCTTACTGACCTCACACATCCTCCCCACCACCACTGTTACCCAGGTTCTTACTGACCTCATACATCCTCCCAATCATCACTGTTACCTAGGTTCTTACTGACCTCACACATCCTCTAAACCATCACTGTTACCTAGGTTCTTACTGGCCTCACACATCCTCTCTACCATCACTGTTACCTAGGTTCTTACTGACCTCACACATCCTCCCAACCACCACTGTTACCTAGGTTATTACTGACCTCACACATCCTCCCAGCCACCACTGTTACCTAGGTTCTTACTGACCTCACACATCCTCTCCACCACCACTGTTACCTAGGTTCTTACTGACCTCACACATCCTCCCAACCACCACTGTTACCTAGGTTATTACTGACCTCATACATCCTCCCAGCCACCACTGTTACCTAGGTTATTACTGACCTCACACATCCTCCCAGCCACCACTGTTACCTAGGTTCTTACTGACCTCACACATCCTCTCCACCACCACTGTTACCTAGGTTCTTACTGACCTCATACATCCTCCCAGCCATCACTGTTACCTAGGTTCTTACTGACCTCACACATCCTCTCCACCACCACTGTTACCTAGGTTTATACTGACCTCACACATCCTCCCAACCATCACTGTTACCAAGGTTCCTACTGACCTCACACATCCTCCCAACCACCACTGTTACCTAGGTTCTTACTGACCTCACACATCCTCTCCACCACCACTGTTACCTAGGTTCTTACTGACCTCACACATCCTCCCAACCATCACTGTTACCTAGGTTCTTACTGACCTCACACATCCTCCCAACCACCACTGTTACCTAGGTTCTTACTGACCTCATACATCCTCCCAACCATCACTGATACCTAGGTTTATACTGACCTCACACATCCTCTCCACCACCACTGTTACCTAGGCTCTTACTGACCTCACACATCCTCCCAACCATCACTGTTACCTAGGTTCTTACTGACCTCACACATCCTCCCAACCACCACTGATACCTAGGTTCTTACTGACCTCATACATCCTCCCAACCGCCACTGATACCTAGGTTCTTACTGACCTCACACATCCTCCCAACCATCACTGTTACCAAGGTTCTTACTGACCTCAAACATCCTCCCAACCATCACTGTTACCAAGGTTCCTACTGACCTCACACATCCTCCCAACCACCACTGTTACCTAGGTTCTTACTGACCTCACACATCCTCTCCACCACCACTGTTACCTAGGTTTATACTGACCTCATACATCCTCCCAACCATCACTGTTACCAAGGTTCTTACTGACCTCAAACATCCTCCCAACCATCACTGTTACCAAGGTTCTTACTGACCTCAAACATCCTCCCAACCATCACTGTTACCAAGGTTCTTACTGACCTCATACATCCTCCCAACCATCACTGTTACCAAGGTTCTTACTGACCTCAAACATCCTCCCAACCATCACTGTTATCTGTTTTACCTCCCGTTCTTTAAGAACAAGTTTGATGAATCTACAGCTCTTCAATATTTAATTAAATTTGAAATGATTACGAGAAATGTTAAGACGATAGTAAAATTCCCAAACGAACTAAGATATCTGTTAATGGTATAAAAGTTTGTCTTAAAATTGTCACAATACATACATTGTTGGTGTTGTATTTTTAGCCTACAAACCTGTAGAATTGTTTTCTTGGGGTAATTATTTATAAAACACCTCACGGCGGAAATCTTCCCATTTATCTCACTTCAGAAACGATTTGTGTGTGATTGACAGACCGTACATTGTAAAGTGTCCATGTTTTAAGAACTTGCTTCCTCAGAAAATGTTCCCATTGCATGCTTTTATGTTGAACTGAAGTGTTTTAAAACACGTATACGATTACCTGAGGTTAATATGACTGCATTCCAAGGAAGAACCTCACAGAAAATATTATGAATATGCAGCAAAACTCAAAGGAATTAAGATATTTAGCACTTTAAATGTCGTTTGTTATGAGAGTGATGACAAGGACCCTCGACAGTATTCGAGTATTCTGACCGGCTTTGATACAGCGATCAAAAGGCCTGTGTCAATCGCCCCACACCGTGTACAAACAGAAGCGACGTTAAATAGTCAGAACACGCGTGTACGCCCTGTCCACTTTTCACTTCGGTTAAGGTATTACCGGTTTTCTCCTGTCAGGGAAAATCAAAATAAGCTATGGTTTCCCACTTAAATTATCTGTAGACTTAAAAAAATACACGCATCAAAATATGTCTAAAGCACGAAACGGATTATCTCTAAGGCAGACTAAAAGAAAGGCTCGTCGATTCAACACGATTTTATGCCTATCCCAAGTCTAGACGATATATTAAAGTTTAGTAAAATTTCTTTTGTTTTCATATGTACATGACTGATTGCAACACGATCAAATTACCTATTATGTGTATCAGCCTATCGATGTGAAAGACAAACATGTTATGCATAACCTAACTTACCACGAACGTGTATAAGTTGCCTACCTTTCCACGCACGTGTAAACGTAACCAACCTTACCATACACGAGTGTTAGCTACTTACCTTGTCATGTAAGTATATCAGTTACCGATCTTATCACGCACGTGTAAACGTAACCAACCTTACCATAGACGTGTGTTAGCTACTTACCTTACCGCGCACGTGTATGAGTTATCTTCCTTACCACGCACGTGTATGAGTTATCTATCTTACCACGCACTGTGTGAGTTATCTACCTTACCACGCACGTGTATGAGTTATCTACATTACCACGCACGTGTATGAGTTATCTACCTTACCTCGCACGTGTATGAGTTATCTACCTTACCACGCACGTGTATGAGTTATCTACCTTACTTCGCACGTGTATGAGTTATCTACCTTACCTCACACGTGTATGAGTTATCTACCTTACCATGCACGTGTATGATGTTCATTGCACTGCAGACCTTGTCACCACACGTGACTGATACCTACGCGCGGCATATTTCTGTTTGGTATCTACATTGTACCTTTTGGATAGCCCTTCAGGTACATCATAAAACCTACTGTCCCCATTGTTGAATTCGTATTTCTCTTCTTTCTTACCAACTCTTTTCTTCCTAATGTATCGTTAGACATTGTCTGGATGTCTGGGATGGAGCGTTCACAACAGTGAGGAATACTTTTGGTTCTTTCCCTGACCGAGACATACCAAAATGATTGTTACTATTCCCTGCATAGCATCTAGTAAAGTGGAAGGTAAACGAGTGGTCTACTATTGCCGGTATCATGTGACTGGGTGGGGTGTCCCGCTAGGCGGTCGGTTATACACTTCAGTGTGATAGCACTATAAAGTCGGATTTAATTCTGCACATTCAATTAACCCATGTAATTACCTCACTCTGATGGGGAGACCGTCTTTAAACACTTATACTAAAACTTAAACCTCAGTCTTATCTCTAAAATGTACACGTAAGTTTTTCTACCCACACATGTAGTTGCTGTCTCCCTACTGTGCATGTGTAAGTGTCATTTACCTCATCACGGTTGCACTTAATCTCCTTTGAGCCACCGTCACGTCATACGAACTCAGTCGGACGTTTTTAATAATCCCTTTTTGACTCTTATGCCATATTATTGCTACCAACTACCGTAAACACTACATGCAAGTAGGATCAAGTTGGTCAACTACGTTCAAACCACAGTCACAGTAGGGTTTTGGCACTCAAGCTCACCATAGAGATATTTTGAATTATTTTTGTTAAACGGAAAAGGAGAAGAGTTTGGTTTTAATACTTGGAGTATTTAATAACCTAACCTCTGTAATACGACATCTAACGAGACTTTACAAAGACCTTCTGATAACCTCTCGTCTGCCATACGACACCTAACGAGACTTTACAAAGACCCTCTGGCAAACTCTCGTCTGTCATACGACAGTAAACGAGACTTTACAAGGACCCTCTGATAACCTCTCGTCTTTCATACGACATCTAACGAGACTTTACAAGGACCCGCTGATAACCTCTCGGTCTTCCATACGACACCTAACGAGACTTTAAAAGGACCCTCTGACAACCTCTCGTCTGCCATACGACATCTAACGAGGCTTTACAAAGACCCTCTGACAACCTCTCGTCTGTCATGCGACACCTAAACGAGACTTTACAATCTTCCGTCTCACAAACGACACATAAAGACTATCTGACAACCCCTGGCTTTTCATACGACACCTTAACGCATGTAAAGTGATGACCTGTCGTAGATGCAGGCCTGTTTTATACCCTGGATGTGCGTATACGTTAGGCTTGGACTAAAAATGTCCACTACTTCATTAGATACGATGACCGGAAGATTTGGTTAGCCTAGGGAGAATGTCTTAGATTTGTTTCTTTATCTCAACATTAAACATTTTTAACTTGCATTGTCAGCTTTAATGAGACTTAACCGCAGTCACGAGATCTATAACGGTGGTCAAATCTAACGCGGTAACATAGATTCGCCATAGTTGACTCAGTTAAACGTAGACATAGTTCAACCGCAGTTCTACGTAGTTATAAACGGAATTTGAACTTCAGGAAACGTGTGATTTGACAGTGGTAAGTCAAATTTATTTCAACATGTTCAAAATATCTCTATGGTGAGCTTGGTTGCCAAGACCCTACTATGACTTAAGTTTGAACGTAGTTGATCGTAGTAATATTTCTGTACGAGTACTATGGTAACTTCAACGACCAAGAGTGGCATACCTACACGAAAATGTAATCTGGCAATTTGAATATTTCACTTAAAGTTCGGTGCGACAGGGTACTCTTTACCTACCATGCGCCCGGCGTCGTTGTTATGAAGTTGTATAATTGTCGTTATGTCGCCTCGTCGTTTTTTCTTCCGTGCGTCCATGAACTCCTTTGACTTTTTGTAGCCAAATTCGACGTTATCTCCACACCCTCCCCATTCCCACTCCCCATCTGTTGTGATGTCCTGTATGTCATTGTCACACGTGCATTGCAGGAGTTTGCCCATACTGCATGCCTCTGTCACGGCATACACTACCCCGGCCGCTGTCACCGCGTAAACGAAGGCAGATTCACGTGTATCTGAAATTATAAAAAATACACCGGGTGACTTGGGTTTTTTTAAATGCATGATACGAAAACATGTTTCATACTCAAACTATTATCAAGAGACATTGGACATTGAAAGGCCACAGAATTTCTTAGGGAGCAGTATGATAAACAAACTGGTACCAGAGGGAACAGGGTATACAGTGGACGTGACGTCACACAAACAGGTACCATAGGGAACAGGGTATACAATGGACGTGACGTCACATAAACAAGTACCACAGGGAACAGGGTATACAGTGGACGTTACGTCACACAAAGAGGTACCAGATGGAGCAGGGTATACAGTGAACGTGACGTCACACAAACGGGTACCAGATGGAGCAGGGTATACAGTGGACGTGACGTCACACAAACAGGTACCATAGGGAACAAAGTATACAGTGACGTAACGCAGCATACAGTATATGACGTGACTTACAATTACGATATTTTAATACATCAAGTGTGTTACTATAGTAGTCTACGTGTCCCACAATTATGACGACAGAACACGTGCGAGATTAGCGTATATATATGAAGACTTTATTGACAATGCACTCAAGTTCAATTTTATTGGATAAGTATGTATCTCACAATAACAATGACACTGCACGTGTAGCTTTACTGTAAAGTTTGTATCTCTCAATAACAATGACATTGCAAGTGCAATTTCACTGTAAAGTGTGTATATCACTATTACATTGACATTGCACGTGCAATTTTACTGTAAAGTTTGTATCTCAATATTACATTGACATTGCACGTGCAATTTTACTGTAAAGTTTGTATCTCACTATTACATTAACATCATACGTGCAATTTTACTGTTTGCCCCTCAAAATTACAACGTGCAATACCATGGTTAACACTTGAGACTGATTATAAAGGACTTGTAAGACTGTGAAGCACTATGTTTACATTTATGTAGGAGGGTATGCAGTTGGACGTACGCTTAATGAAAGTAGGTTACGTTAAACAGGAAACAAACATCAATTCTAAATCTACTTTATGGACAAATAAGTCTTTCGAATTTGCAGGGATGATGACCGTGAAATCCCGATACTTAGGAACGTGTTCCTGAAACTCCGGGTTCTTCCTTAACGACTCATAAAGCCTATCATCATAAGTCTCTACAGCCATAATATTCCCTTATTATAACTTGTAACACAAAATGGTAATCACCTTGATCTCCGATATTACCAGGGAGAGAATTTTTTTACTGACCCACATAATCCAGTCTTTTCGATGTTTAAATGAGTTTGAGATTTGTCTTAACTAAGATATTGCGATATTTTAATGTCGGACGAATACACCAATAATTAGTTTTTTTTTTTCAAATTCTGGACATTCATAGGTATCCGGATACACAAACTACTGTACGAATTTCTCAGTAAGTTTAAATCCAGATTTAAGATTGTTCCCTATAAGTGTAGTCATAATTGAGTTGCAGAAAGTTCGAAACTATTCGACCTGAGCAGAGGTGTTCAGCACTCAGCAGGGGCGGAGATGAATATTTTTATCACCTCACATAAATGTGTTATGGTTTATGAGATGCACTTTAAATATACATCAAATAAATGGACCATAGACTATATCAGCACTTTTCTGCCAAACTTTTTGAGAAACAAAATAAAAAGTTTGACACCAATTTTAAGACCTACACCAAAACAATCCGCTACAAATATATTGTTCATGTAAGTAAACGGAAAAAGATAATATTTTGTTTTGAATATACTCGGGATAAGGCGCCATTTATTGGTGGAATCTGGAAATAATTCACATTTGCCTAATTTCCAAGTTTTAGCATGTGCACAGGCTTTTCGAATTATGTAAAACATACCAAATCTCAATGATATTTTAAAATACTTTATATAAAAGTACATATGACCTCCATTACAATTTTAATCAAAGACACACCTGGTTTAAATGAAGAAGTCAACAACAGCTTCTTGTGACACATTGAAATGGACAAGTTCACTGAGACACTGACAGAAATGAACGCCCGTTTGTTGATTTCAATCAGAAATCAACAGCTTAGTCTAGATTTATATCTGCAAACAGGTTCTATATTTTTTGTGCTGATTCAATAATTAATTAAAGTCCATTTTAAAGGTCATCTGAGTTGAAGACACATTTGTCTTAAGTGCGTTGCGCGCGTCGTCCGTTTTCGACTTCCCTTAAAAAAACATGAACAAATAGTATGCTATGGAAACCTTTCATGGTGAACCAAAAAGTGTTTTCAAATGTTCTCAACTTCCACGAGTTTGAGCTTAGTGACCAATGATCGAATTGATTGAAACTACAAAATTCTTTTCCTCTAGTATTTTTTTTTCGCGAACTCATTGCAACAGTCACAACGAGTTGTATGACAGAGGGCGTCACACGTTGAAAGGTCTTAGGTGCTCTACTAAAATTGTAAATTTCATGATTCCATGAACTTATGTTTAACTGCATATACAGCTTCTGTTAGTTAATAACAATTTCAAACATATTCTGTTTTATTTCTATTTTAGATACGGGAAGCGTTTAACATGGGACGGTAGTTGGTACCTTAGAGCCTGACTGACCTCAATGGCCCCCAATGACCAAACGAGGTCAAAACTAATAGCTGAAACAGGTTTCTTTCTCAGTTGCACGGATATTTATTAAAAAGATATTCATCAGTATACTAGATATCTGATAGGGCAGTTTTATTGCAATTAACAGGTGCCACCTGAAGAAAATGTGAATGTAGTTCAAGTTATCGAACTTTGTTAAAAAGGTCCTCGGGCCTCATACTTCTTTACTTCACCAATCACGAGGGTGAATAGTATTTTTCTTTAAAAAACTGTCTACGTAGATATTAAAGCACTATAAGAAACTATAGAAATGTTAGTAATGTGAATCAAATTGACATCGAGAAGTAGCTGATAATAATGGTAGTAACAAACATTAAAAATTATTTTTTGCTAATTGTTTTTGTTTTGACCCTTCATCCTATCTCTAAATCTCTTGATTTCTCTGTCTCCACGAATCAGCCTTTGTTCAAATGATTTGATATAAATTACATACAGATTTCGTAATCATTAGTCACTAATGAAAATTGTTTAGCTATTGACACGTTGCTATGAAGAAGACATATAAATTAAATCAGTTATACTTTTTAACCAGAACTTAAAATTATTTTCAATCGACATTTTTTGAATGAATGATACCTGTTTTTGAACGTGCCCAGTGGATTATATTCTGCCAGTAACCGCTGTTTGACATTCTGAAGAGGTGCCTTTTGTGTCAATAGACACCACATAGTTTCCCGTCACATCAATGTCATACAAACGCTTAATCAAACACAAAACAGGTACATCATTTCAAGATCAACTATGAACATGAGTCCTTAAACAGCAGGGAGACATTCTTCGAAAAACATGAATTCTTGAAGTATGTGGATGACGTTATCATAAAAAAATTGAGTAATGAAATAACTTTCACATCGTTGGATAGCGTTAAGGTACTTCAGCTATCTGTCAGTTAAATGGTTCAAATGGCAATCATATTAACAGTTTTTTCATTTGTGATCTGTATATAATATGAAACTAAAAGTGCTGGTATTATCAGAATAATGTTTATTTCATTTTTATGAATTTGAATAAAAAAAATATATTTTTTTGTTCCTTTCGTTTTGTTTAGGTCAGTATTGTTACAGGCGACAAAGATGTTTTTATGATACGACGAATAAAAAATTGAAGCAGGGAGGACTTGGAATATATTCTTCGATTTAGCTAGGGGCTATAATTACACCACCGTCCACAGAAGTGCACACAGTGATGTGAAATGATGTAAATTTGATGATACAAAATTTGCACTGAAGCACACGCTCTAAATCAAGTAACACAGCAGTGCTAAATTTTAGTATTTCAGTTCGAGTAACGAGTCGACTTTCTAGATAACACATAGGAATTTTACTTTAAAATCAGCACGAGGGGTGGTTTCCACCAGCAAACGTACATGGGCCTCTGAACATCAATTCCAGTAACCACGTGTGGCCGTGCATTCCAGACACGCGCGTGCCATAAAAAGATATACATACCCCTTCATCATGAGGTCACTTCTAATTTTTCAATGACAAAAATGTTCCTTTAATATGTAATCCAGCCACCCGTTATCAGCAGTGCAAGGTGTTTAAGTGGCACTAATATTAACATGCACGAATAACAGAGTATAGGGATACACGTGTTGTCGGGGATACACTATACTTGGCCAGTAGATACACGTGTTGTCGGGGATACACTATACTTGGCCAGTAGATACATGTGTGGTCGGTGATGCACTCTATCTAGCCGGTGGATACACGTGTGGTCGGTGAGACACTCACCTTAGTCGAGGGACACACGTATTGTACTTTATCTGGTCGAGGGGGAGGGGGGAATAATATTCATTATCCGAACGGTGTTTTACACATGTGATTGGTAAATCACTTTACATTGCCGAGGGACACCGGTGGTGGATACACGACTGGTTGTCACTAACACCGACCAAGGAATACACGTGATGCTGTTATTACACTAACATCGGTCAAGTGATACACGGGTGGTTGTGGAAACAGTAACCCTGGCCGGGGGATACACGTGTGGTTGATACACGTGTGGTTGTTGAAACAGTAACCCCGGTCGAGGGATACACGTGAGGTTGTTATTACACTAGCCCCGCCGAGGGATACACATGTGGTTGATACACGAGTGGTTGTTGATACACTAACCCCGGTCGAGGGATACACGTGAGGTTGTTATTACACTAGCCCCGCCGAGGGATACACGTGTGGTTGATACACGAGTGGTTGTTGATACACTAACCCCGGTCGAGGGATACACGTGAGGTTGTTATTACACTAGCCCCGCCGAGGGATACACGTGTGGTTGGTACACGTGTGGTTTGTTATTACACTAGCCCCGCCGAGGGATACACGTGTGGTTGTTATTACACTAACCCCGGCCGAGAGATACACGTGTGGTTGC